CATCGAGAACCTAACCTTCGAAGAAATTCCTCAAAAACTCAAAATTTCGAGATTTTCAGCGATATCGCACTGTTTTGGCCATAACTTTTGACTCGATGATCCGATTTAAGCGAATCATATGCCGTTGGAAAGCTAACGAAAAGATCTACATGAATTCCGTTCGCTTTCCAAGGTACATTGTCAATCACCGATGTCAAGGTCAAAACTTAGGGAAATCTGTTCAAATTCTTCCAAAGTGAAACCTAAGGTCAAAGCTTTTCTAAACTACACTGTAGAGGTCCGAAAATGGTAGATAATTCAATCAACCTCGCGTCAACGGACAGTCTTAAAACAATCAACAATCAACTACCGAAGCCTCCCCTAACTCATCAACATTGTGTGATCATCAATATGCTGAAATTCTAAATGTTGAGCTTAGGGAAACCATCATGTGTGGTACCTGTTCAGATTGCTCCACATACATAGCGGGTATGACAAGCTATGAGCAATCAAACCTTGCACATTCTGAGGGGGAGTTTCAGTTTTCTCCTCCTGACGCCTTACACCGACAAAGCAAGGAATCTCTCAAAGGATGCAACATTTTAGGGGGAGTTTTCAATGTCCTCCTCCCCGGTGCAAAACAATGACAAAGCATACCGAGTGCTCCAGTTGAGGGGTAGTACAGCGAGAAAATCAAGAAACAGAAAATCAATGAGAGAACATGCCCCTTTGGCTTAATAAACTCAACTAAGCCTACCCAAGGGACAATGTCGGGAGTAAGTGAGTGAGTGAGTGAACATTATGAGCGTTAGGAAGCATAAGGCTCAAGTGAGAAAGAAAACAATAATCAATGATAAGTCGGCTACCTCAGCCGCCTGCTATTAATTGAACATTTACTCCTAGTCACTCAAATACTCTGGACAATTCCCAAATAGGTTAAGGACTGATTTAATTAGATCCTGGGTAGAAGTCATTGCATCTTGTCCAACAGTGCATGTTGAACCCTACCCAAGACCACTCATTTGTCTCTCAACAGACATGTGTTTAATCATATTTCACGGGGAACCGCATCTCTCATTACTGTCTCCTTCCGAGGCAAGTAATACTGACTACAGTGGCCTCAGCCCCATGTCGCTGAACTCTCATTGATCACGTCATGTCTAGTTACTCACTCCCAAATGTATTGAAATTTTCTAGGACACAAACGCACTTTTTGAGTTAGTTGCAGGTCTACATGATCTGCGAGAACTTTCATAGGGCTCATCTATTACAAATGTAGACCGAGGATTGGAAGGAAGTCCTGCTGTTGCAACATAAGAATCACCAACATTTTCAGGCCATTGCTTTAGAGTTTATCTCTATAGTGATGATAACGAGTGTCTACATGACCTTGGGGGGCTACAAGTTTCTCTATGCTGATCTTTATGATCATGCAAATAACAACTAGAGTGACATCTTTTCGGATGCTTCACAATAACTGGTTGGAAGTCCTATTAGAGCTTTAATGTTTCTATCATTTTATATAGGCCACACATCCGTGTTTACATTGATGTTGTGTTAACGGAACACCTCAGTTCTCCGGTGTTTACCTTTTTGTTCTTCTGTTTTGTCCTTCAGAATAAAAGAATAAAGGCATGATGCCCCGATTCATCGGATCGTCATGAGGGGGAGAGTGGTCCACATGCTGTTAACTTTCAACAAATCATTCTCGGAAACTTTCTTCCCCCAACATTGTCTCTACTATCTCAACAACTCAATTGGATAGCTACGCTAAGAAGACAACCATCATTCTCCGTTGTGCAACCGACAAGGTCTCCTCAAACGCATTCACTTCAAATAGTAAAAAAGACTACATTATGGATGAGACACGTGTCAGATACTCGCATACTGAAGATGAATCCCGTGCGCACCTGCAAATCATCAGAACTATCATTCTAGAGGCGCCACCATACTTCATTCAAGCTGATCAAGAGCTACTTCTGAAGGCAAGGTTTACAACCAAGCCAAAGGAAGATTCCTCAACCCCCGACATCAAAGATCAAATTGCCAAGAAGACATCAAAGGGGAGATTGCAAGGATTTCTTCAGAAAGCTTTCTCAAGAAGTCAAGTTCAAAGACAAAGGAAGTTGAATAACAACAAAGACAAAGATATCTGCGCTGCAGCTGATTGAACACGATTGAACACCAAGGGGGAGATTGTTGGGAATATTTTATGGTGTGAAATCTAATTAAATATCTTTGTATTTGTTTAGTTGTTAATTAAATGTGTAATATGGGCCACAAATGTGTATCATCCCATTAGCTTCTTTGTAATCCATAAGTTAGCCAACTTCTCCTATAAAAGGAAGCTAACTTATGGAAAACCTAGGAATCAAGGCTTGAGAGTGCATAGATGCGAGATAGAGAGTAGGGTTTGCCGCTGCTCTCTCTCTCGAGGGAGGGCAGCGGCCATGTTCACGGTATACCAGATTTGGTTTTCATCTCGATATCTTTCTATCTACTTCTTCTTTATCTGCTATGGTTGTTTGATTGTTTAAGAACATGAACTATCAGCCCTCATTACTTTTCCAATGACTGACAGCTTCACTAAAAATGATAAAAGTCACATAGGGAAGAGGTAGCATTCAGTTTTCTAGACAAAGAATGATTTGTGGTCTCGCTTCGTTGTGAAAATAAAATGTTAGCAGAAAAGAATTCTTTTGAAAAAGCTGGACACCATTTGTCCCTCATCTCATACAGTTTGGTTAACCAAGGATTATCAGAGCAATTATATTCAGATATCATTCTGCAAAACACAACAGATAATCATTTCACGCAACTGTTTACTCATTAATGTTATGAACAATACTCATGAACACAATATTAATGTAAGTGTGTAAAAACAAAAAAAAAATATAATGACAATGAAACATACCTATTCCAGTAATAATCAAATTCAGCAACGGTGTGACAAAGCTTCAAAACATGATCAAACAAATCCAAAAATCCCTCTTGATTCCTTAAATCGCGTATATGTTTCTTAGAATTTTCAATGATATGCCATATACAAAGACGATGTTTGGAGAGAGGAAAAAATGTAGAAATGGCAGCAGATTGATCTGTGATAACAGGTCTTGGGTGGACAGAACCCATAGATTGCAAAAAAGTATTGAAAAGTCATTCAAAAGACTCAATTCTCTCATTTAACAAAAAGTCACAACCAAACATGCAATTATGAATGTGGGAGTTAACACCAACAAACGGTCCACAAATCATGTCATACTTGTTGGTGCGGTAAGTCGTATCATGAATAAGCAATTCACCAAATGCAAGATAATCTTCCTTCATTTTCTTGTCTCTAAAAAAAATACTAACCAAACTACCATCCATATCACCTCAAAAGAAAAGAAAAAATCGTCTTCATTTGCCTGTCTGTTCTTAAAAGTATTAATCAATGTGTTTGCATCACAGCCATCAAATGATTTTTTAATCTTTTTTTGTCAACTCATTATAAGCGTCACGCAAAAGAAAACCAATAACAGGAGATCCACCAGCTTCTGCTTGCAAGCAACGAAAACCATCTGCTACTTTAACTCCTTTATTTTTCAAATGTTGCAAATACTCTAATTCACTTGATGAAACAACATGATGAGACGATGAACTAAAGAACTCGGGAATTTTTTTTTATTATGAACCATCTCACGCCTCACAACAACAAACTCACCAGTAGGCTTTATCTCAAAATATATTTTTGCCTTGCAACCCGTTCGCCTGTCAACTTTTGTATATTGTTTACCTACAACACCTTTATTCCTTTTTAGACCTTCTTTCGTGCAACAAAATTCCCTTCCCATACAGCCAGAACTACCACCTCTCTTTCTTAAAGTATAATAACGAACACCAAATCCAATTCTATAAGCGTACTCATTATATAGCTCAAATGCCTCTTTTTCCAAAAAAACTGTTTTACCCAATAACTCAGAAATTTCAACTTCATTAACTGATATTGTTTCAACACACAAAGCCTCATTAGATTGGTCTACATGAACAAAAGTAGAAGAATTTTGAACTGCCAAAAAATTAAAATTTGAAAACAAAAAAAATAACAAAGTGATAAAATGTAAGAAAGCACAATACTCGGTAGCACAGGAACAAATTCAGTTCCAGACAAAAAATCTACACTTAAGGTAAAATTCTGCACAGGTATCACCAAATTCCAAGTAATCTGTATCAATAAAAAATACAGAAATAAAAATCAAATAGCTCAAAGTAAATAACAAACAGCAAACAACAACAATATGTGACTTGTAAGGGAGAGAAAATATTACTGCAATCAACTTTAAAAAGTTCGCCTCTGGTCTCAATATCCTCTATTAATTTGCCACTGCAAGACATATCATCTAGATAGGGGATAACAATTCAAAACAAAAGAACAGATGATCATTACTATGTAAAATAATACTCATCAAATATAATGAACGTGTTATTTGAAAAATTACCTCCACAACTAGACATAACATCAATTCTTGGATAAAAAAAATGCTGCAAAATAAAACATTTGAACTGAATGAAAAAATGATTTTGTTCCAATAAGAGAAGAAAATAACCTAAGAACAATTACTTACTTACATCTTCAGTGGACAAAACATAAACATGCGAAAGAAAAAACGGAAGTAAATAATAAGGATGAGGAAGTAAGTACAGAAACTAAGATCGAAGATGGAAACAACAAAGGAGAAAAATTGATTAAGACAATAAGATATTGTAGTTTTCAAAAGTGGAGAAAATATGAAACAAAATAAAGATTGAATGCGGTAGAGAAGAAATATTACTCGCATTGATGACCAAACGGAATCTTCAACTGGAAAGATTGAAAGCGATAGAGAAGAAAGAGATGAACGAAAAAACCTAGGAGAAGAGGATGGACCAGCGCGGATGAAGAGAACGAGAAGGACCAACACGGACGAAATCAGATTAAACAAGAAGGGTCAAAGTTGCTATTAATTACAAAAAGAAACCGATTGTGTCATGCTCGAGGTAAGGCCGGCTGCAGCATTAATTTACCCTACCCTAAACCCCATGTTGGTAAAAGCTGATCGTAAGGCCAAAAAGAGAGAAGTAAGATGGCGGAGGAGGGTGGTGCATCATCGAGAGGAGAAGTGAAGCACATATTACTGGGCAAGTTCAAAGATGGGATATCTCAAGAACAGATCGATCATCTCATCAAAGGATATGCCGATCTCGTTGACCTTATCCAACCCATGAAGTCCTTTACCTGGTATTTTCCAATCTCTTTTTGTTTCCTCTGTTTCGTTTTTAGAACTTCAATTTTGTTCCTTAGGCATATGAATGGAGAAGAAGTCGTTTGTCTTCCGATTTCCCTTTTATATTTTCGTTCTTGAAGCTGAATTTTGACCCTTTCATTTCCTTATTTTGGAAATTGAAGCGTCCATCTTCTTCGTAGGGCAAAGTCTACCCAATTTTGATTTCTATTAGTTTTTCCAATTCGTTTCATACATGATTTGATGGATGTTAATCTGGCTAACTTTGATTTCTTATTTAGTAAACTTATTTGTTTTCAACAGAACACTCATTTGGGAATAGTTATGTGGTTTATATAATCCAACAAAATCCATTCAGTAAAATAAGTAAGTAAAAAACGACTCAATTTGGAATAATCCAGATGATGCTACTAGACAGAGCCCTAAAATATGTATCTGAAGGTTTTGTTTGGCTGATATAGCTGAATCTTCAGAAATTTTCTTAAAGGAAAACCTGTTTGGTAACATGTATTTAGCCAAATAAGTAAGTCAAAAGCTACTGATTCTGCACTAAGCAGAATAATGCTACAAATTACAAAACGGAACCTTAGGTTCTGTTTATGAAAGTTTGTTTGGCTGATAATGTTGCCACCAAACAGAGGCCTAAAGCCTGTTAGAACGATTTATTCATCATTTTATGGTAACTTGATGTACCTGACCAGATGAAAAAAAAATTGTCAGGGGTAAAGATGTGAGCATAGAGAAGCTTAACCAAGGTTTCACTCATGTGTTTGAATCGACATTCGATAGCACAGAAGGAATTGCAGAGTACATTGCCCATCCCCTTCATGTTGAGTATGCAAACAAACTTCTTCCTCAACTGGAGAAGGTCCTTGTCATAGACTACAAACCTGCACCTCTAGCTTGAACTCCAATATCTATTTTGCATACTTTTTCACCAAGTATGCAAGCAAACTTCTTCCTCATGTCAGTTTTTCTTTATTTCGGTCTTTATTTCAGGTCTCGAACTTGTGCCGAGGTTGATTTTCTTGAAGTGTTTGTTTTCACTGATATGATGCACTAAAGTAAGATATCTGCACGAGCTATTCTCTATCCATATGAAATGTATGTTTTGCACGAGAAACTATTCATTATAACGTCACGGGCACCAACTTGAAATGAAGAGGGCAAAACACATGTTTCAAATATGAAGAATGTCCATTTTGAATTTTAATTGACAAATAGGAGCCAAAACAAATTTAATGTGAAAATTTTGTGTAGTAATAAATTAGAAAAATGCTAAATTACTTAAGTTGAGTCATATTTTTGCTTAAAATGATTAATAAGGTTTAAAAAACGTATTGTATTGTTAATTTTTCATATTAACAATTCTACACAACCTAGAACTACATTGTAATAACTAATAAATAACATGTCTATATATTCTACTACGTAACAAATTAATTAAATTGAGAGGTGGTCTCCCCTTTAGTTTTAGCATCAAATTAAAGAAAAATGATCAATTGAGACATTGAGTGCCATGAATTCTCATATCATTTAACCAATAATTTTTCAGTATGAATGGTTTGATTGCAAAAAAAGAAAAACGGTTTGAATAGTATTTTCTATCTGAATGTTGTGCGCGCATGTATGTTAGTATGTATACGTGTGTGTGTTTATACCATGTGTGATCTCAAGAAAAAATGAATAAATCAATTCAACACCTTATTATTATTTTTTAACCCCCATTTCATAGCCACTCCAAATAAAATAAGGAATTGGACAATTGGTACTCATCAATAATCGAAGAACCCGATAACAACCCACATGAATCAGTGCATACATACATACATACATACATATTTATAATCATTCCAACACCCGTCCGCTTAATTTGCTGCTAACAATCAATACAACATCACAAAGATCTTGGAGCTTTGTACTCGCAGCTTTCAGTTTCCCTGATTCACGAGCCGCCGCGTCCTCAAAATCTTGGTCACATGTTTCTGGGAAATCCAAAGCAGCAGAAGCATATGAGTCCAAGCTCCCATAGTCCTTAACTTTTAAGAAATCGAGGCATCTCCCTAGGGCTTCGACGGAATCCTCGTAGTTATCCAAACACGATGAATATCTTGATTTGGACTCGGGATTCTTCGCTCCCTTGAGAAGGGATTCCACGAGGGCATGCGATGTTTTCGCATGTTTCATTGACACTTCGATTGCGATGGTGGCGAGTTCTTTCATGTCGGCGGTTTTGGTTCGAGGATCGGACCTCAATGCACGTGTGCATGTGTCAGGTCTTCGGGCCTTGGCGCATATACTTCCTACCAAATCCGCTGTCACATTCGTACATGCAAATGTGAAAAAAGTAGCTATGAATAATAAGGTGGAAGCCACTACGTATAATGAAGGTTTGTGAACAAATCCCATTTCTCAAACCTCACCTTCACATATATATACTTATTTAAAATGGCAAAGAGTTGGGGGAGAAAAGATGAATATGGTGTTTTCTTTATTGATGGAAATGTATATGTATATATGCTATTATGTTTATTTATAAGGGGAGACAAATACAAAATTAACGATGCCTGTAAGAGCACAAGTTGTTAGGGTGTTGAATGGACGCCATAGGTTGTCGCATTTGTTGTGTTGCCTTCAATTATATTCCTTCATACAGGGAGAGGCTCCAAATAGTATAGATTTTGCTTGTAAACGGATTTTGTTGTTTCAAACCTTTTTATTCTTATTAAGATTGATTATTATGTGAAAATATTATTTTTTATCATTAGTAAAGTCCACAAGAAAAGGAGTATTGCAAATGTTTTTTTAAGGTACTTTTCATTTTTTTTAAAAAAATATAAAATAGATTTTTCAAAGATATATGTGCCTCTCCTAAGAGTTAAACAATTTAAGGTTAAAAAATGAAAGCAAAATTTGCCAAATAAAAATGAAAGCAAAGTGACGTGTGCTAAAAATAACTCTTCACTATTTCTATTACATAAAAATTAAACTATATCAAAAGTGAAATCATTCGCACTTTGGAATTGTATGAGAAAACTACTTTTTATTTGAAGTAGACTATATATATATGGTGGGATTTCAATAAGAAAAGGTTTATAGGAGAGAAATGATAAAGAATTTTGGTCGTTGGATTTGACTATATTCTAGTAAAAAAGGTTAATATTGCACGAAAATTTGCACTTATATGTGGGGGATTTTCGTAAATACTTTTGAAAATAGGTGCTACACCTTTCTAGTTAGGGGTGGACTCGGGCCGGGCCAACCGGCCCGGAACCGGACCGGCCCGCTACTATGCGGGCCCGGCCCGGCCCGGCCCGGTGAACCGGTTCCGGGTCCGGTTCAGACCAACCGGCCCGGTGGGATGGCGGTTCGGGCTCGGGCCCTTCAAAAGGTGAACTGGCCCGGCCGGTTCGGCCCGGGCCGGGCCAATTTCTTTTTTTGTTGAATTTTTTTAAGTTTTTGGGTTGGGTTGGGTATTTTGGGCCATTTAAGGTGGTTAGGGTTGGTTTGGGGGTGAGGGGGGAGGGTTGGGGGTGAACAAGGAAAAGCCAAAAAAAAAAAATAGAACCGAGGCCCGGCCCGGACCCGGGGGTTACCCGGGCCGGTTCCGGGCCTCCCCTTCTTGAACCGAGGCCCGGCCGGGCCCAGGCCCGAACCGGAACCGGTCCATGCCTATTTCTAGTGCTACATGAAACTATTTTAGTGTAACATGGTAAAATTTAAATCCTAGTGCAACATAAAGTTTGTTTTTAGTGAAACATCATAAATCCAACGATTGAGAATGAGATTGAAGATGTTAATAAAAATATTTATTACTCCGTATGATATAAGGACCATATAAAAAATATTTATTATGAAAATATTCATTGTAAAAGAAAGAGAGATTTGCATTTTTACTCCCACATACAACTAATTTGCTCCTGTATGTAATAAATCTTTGCAATATAAGGACATTTTCCCGGAAATGTACATTTTATGGCAAAAGTATATCGGAAAAGATGCTGCCAACATTGGATTGTCTACTGGAAAATGTAATTTTTCGGGGAAAGTCCTTAAATGGAAAAAACTTATTAGTTCCAGACTAAACTTTCAAGTGATTAAAGTTACGGAACTAATAATGAAAACAACCAAACATTACATCGCTAAAATTGCAAATCTCCCTAAAAGATAAAATGAGTTTTAGTAAAAACAACACGAGACCTGATAGAGATGTTAAAAAGGTGAATTTGCAACCTAGAGAGGATTGAATTAAGAAAGATGTTAAGCTCGAACGGGAGCTACATGTTGAGGTTTACATCACACAATGATATATTGTTTGTGCTCATTGTATGTGGTCTCCTACAGTCTGAGGTCCTGACAATAAAACATTTGATGATCTATGGAATAATTGATTTAAAATCAAGGACATTGCTAATAGTTTGGTTGGAAAAGATAGAGAGTTATCAACTTATTTTTATTATTCACTTGATGAAGAAAGTATTGGGACTCACAAATATATTATCACATTCCTTGCAATACGATCAAGAGCGCTAAACGTAAACGTTAAGAGAATTATGCAAGAGATTATAGGAATGTTTGAATATGCTCATGGTTTTTTTGGCAAAAATGTGCTCATGATATGGTTTGAAAAATATGTGTTGGGGTTGTTTTTTATTTTATTTTAGATATAAATTTTAGAGTAGTTTTAAGTATCATATGTTTTTAATTTTTAATTTTAGGTGATGACAATATTTTTAGGCAATCTTTATAACCTCTCTTATTCATTGGGTTATTTGAAAATAAATTCCCATAACAAAAACATGTTAAAAGTCATATATAGTAAATACGGTTGTCACTTCTGGGCAATTTTTTGAGTGGGTCCACTTCCGATTTGGGACGGGTCAAAGTAAACTCATTCTCCTTTGAAGGGGTTCAATTTGATATGTGATACACTCAAAACAGATAACATGTTAATGAAAAATTGATTCTGAAAGTTTACTTGTTGAACTGGATAAATTGGAATATCCCGTAATCCCGAAGGTAGAACTACCGTTGGTTAGTGGACGTTTTAATTTCTCCTTCGAACTGCAAGTGTTTTGAACATTGGTTAACGTTCTGAAACTGTAATGCATGATTAATGCATGGTATAAATGCATGGTTAATTGCATGTTCCAACATATTAAGATGAGTTTAATGAGAGGTTTCACCATAATAAGGCTTTGTTTGAGTAAAGTGAACTACTGAACTTAAGTAAACCTAGTGCAATAAAGTAAACCTAAGTTTTCATAAAGACTAAAGGCTAAAGGGTCAAATAGGTCCCTGAACCAATCTTGTAGGCTCAATTCAGTCTCTGAACTAAAAAAAAGGTCCAATTCACACCCCGAACCGGCAAAAAAGGGTTCAAATTTCATTTTTTAAGGTTAAGAAACCGGTAAAAAAGGTCCAATTCGCACCCCTAAACTATTAAAAAGTGTCAAAATTGAAATAAATCGAACATATATATAAAAAAAGAAACAATTAAAAATTAAAAAAAATCGGTTGTTTACCCGTAAAAAATGACATTTGAACCATTTTTGTTGGTTTAGGGTGTGAATTGAACCTTTTTTAGTTCAGGGGCTGAATTGAGCTTACACGACCAGTACAAAGATCTATTTGACCCTTTAGCCTTTAATAAAAACTAGGCTAACCTAAACGAACCTACATTCATGCGTAAAATATTGTTTGGAAATAAATAAGGTGACCCTAGGTTAATGTAATAAATGTTGTTTGGATGAAGATACTTTAACTCATTTTATGTTATGTGAGAACTTAACCTCCAAAACCCCTCACTTCGGAGATTCTTCAATTTTGGGGTTTTCCAGGTTCTCAGGAGTTATGTGAGGTACGTTAACCCAAGTTTGTTAATAACCTAGGTTCTTTTTGCAAAAATACAAATAAACGCGATTAAATAAAAATTGAACCTGCAATATCCTAGGTTAACCCCCAAACAAACAGACTATACGGGTGGTATTAGTACATAATTAATACAAAGGCTCCTACTCCCCTATATATGTTTGGGAGAATCTTTTGGAAAGCATACGGAACACTGAGCACGTTGAAATACTGCCACATACCCGCTGCACTGTTCTCTCCAACGAAAACTCTGCCAAACTTCCGATAAAACTTCCTCAACTCTACCCTTTGTTCCAGTTCGCCGGAGCAACCTATTGTAACACTCCGATCCTAGGATCGTGAAAGGTGGTAAATTAGTTTTAAGGACATTGTGAGTTGCACAAGCTTTGGCTGTAAATGCGCCATTTCTTTGTCCAACTCATTCGACTATTTTTAATTTCTTATTTTATGGAAAAACAAATCAGTTCCCACAACAGTAATTATTAGAGATAAATCAAAGTATATTCTTGTAAGATCTTTGTAAGATTTTTTAAATGATTGCATTTAAACTTTTGTCCACAATGAACTTATTCTTTGAAACAAACGTCGAAAACGATATAAGAGAACTATATGAGATCTTGAGATGAGAGAACCAATAAAGAACTATGTACCAATATATTGGACCTTAGTAAAAAGGTGAAAGAAACAACAAGGTAATTGAGTCTACTAAACTACAATATTTTGATATGAAAGAGAAAAAAATTTGTCAATAAACTTTGGTAAAAAGAGAAAAGAAGTAAGAATGGAACCAATCAAGATTCGACATATCGAGCATGGGTAGAAATACTCAAATTGATTGGGTTGATTAATATTCTTGAATTGACTAATTATATTTGAAATTTTGAATTGCTAATCCAATGCTATATAATGACAATATTTGCCAAAGTACCATTTTCAGAATGAAAAAACAGCACTAAAATTGCTATATTTTTGAAACACTGATATTGCCATCTTGAAAAGACATTTCTTAAATTGACATTTTCATATTTAAAAAGCTCAGAAAAAAGTAGGTCAATTTTTTTAAACAAATAAATTGAAATTAGTAATAAAATTATGTCCAAAAGTTACACAAAACTGATCATTTGAGCCTCTCATTTCTGAATCTCCAAATTAAACAAATAAAATTATAAATACATAGCGAAAAAATTGAGATATGAAGAAAACAGACGAACACAAGGATAAGGAGGATGCGGAGGAGGAGGACATTATGAATTTCAAAAGTAAACAAATAAAATTAATAAAATATAGCATGAATTAGTGTTTAAAAAGGCGCTAGGCGCAAGTCGATCGATGACTAGAGCGTCTATGTATTTTTCCTTCATATTTTTGTTTTAATTTTATTTCCTTTGAATCTCAATTATATTGCTATTAATTTTACAATATTTTGACAATAGAAATAACTCATATTATCATTAAATGTCATGTTTTCTACAGGAAAATAATCAATAATGAAATACTCCATAATTAGTAAAATAAATTAAGATATTTGAGTTTTTAAGTCTCTAAAATTATTAAAATATATTCTGAAAAGTTTATTTATATTTAAAACTATTTTTTTATAGTAGAAGTATGAAAATAATAAGTTTAATAGAATACTTCTTGATCACGCAATGTTTTAAGATAAAACGGAAAAAT